TGCTAATACCACCATTGAGAAGAAAAAGAAACTAATCAAGATGTGCCAAAATACAAGTTACATATTAATTTTACATGGTATCTCTTACAAATTTCATAAATCCTTCAAGGTTCGGAGGAATTTCCGTTGGTGGTGGCGGAAAAGAAGCTTGTTCATCACCGCTTCCGGGCGAAGCTGCATCCTCCGCAAGTTCAACTAGCATTTCTTCGTAAGCTTCGTCTACCTCTGGTTGTGATTCAGCAAGTCCAAAATTTCTTCGTTCCGAACGGATCCAATCTCTGAAAAGTACTAATTTTTCCAAGCTCTCCCTCATAGACGCCCTATAATCACCGAGTTGAAGTCTTGCTTGACTGAAAGCACTCTCTGATGCCACTGTTGAAGCTTGAATGGTTAAAATATCTCGGGCCATCCTTGAAAGAATCGGAAAGTGTTTTTCTTTGTCCTTCCACCATTCCAAAAGATTAAATGAGCCGTCGGGATTAACTTCATCAATTCCCTGTGACAAATAAACTTCAAGCTCATTTAGTTGTGAACAATCACTAGTACTAGAACCTTGAGAACCCCTGAACCCGGCCCAAGCAGTAAGTGCTCTTACTCCCGCAGTTATTTTAGATGATTGAGAACTAGAAGAAGAAGGAGTTGGAACATTTGGTCTAGCATTATCTATTGCAATTTGATAAGCACTATAAATAGTTTGAGCATTTATTTTAATTGAGGCTTGTGCGTCCGAAAGCGTAGACAACTCCTCATCTTCAAGTGCTAAACCATTATAAATAGATTGATACCAATATTGAGGACCTCCTAATTTCATAGTAGGATTTACAAGGCAGCAACACCATAAATAGGGGGAATAGGGAAAAAATATTTTTTAAATTTCTTTCTCATATAATCAATAGCTTGTTCATAAATTTTCCCACCCTCTGAAAAATAAGCAAACAAATTTGCAAGTTCTGCAAGATAAACTAAACAGTTAGAAATAGTCGGATAATATTGCCCAGAAAATTCATTTGTAGCAATATGAAATTTTTCTAAAAAATCTACAAGCATTTTAACATTAACCCAATCCGCATTTGTAAGGTGCTCATCATCATCACTTACATGAGCATTAAACGTTGAGTTTATGGGGTTTCTATATTCATATGCAACAGCTAAACTTTCATACATGTAATTCCATCTAGTTGGACAAGGTTTAGGAACCTTTCTTTCTCTTAGGCCAAATTCATCCATCTTTTAAAATATTCTCTAAGTCTACTTCTACGGTTTGAATAAAAAAGCCAGTGAAGAGCCATTTTAACCTTTTCAATTTCAACATTTAAAATTCTCATACCATAACCCACAATTAAATGGTAAATATGACAAATACATCTAACATGAAAAATGTTACTAAATGCAGGATTTAGTGTAGTGGTAAGCAAGGCTACAACATTAGTGTTACTGGTAGCGTTATCCAATGAAATTGACATTATTTTATCACTAATGCAAAAATATCTACAAATATCCGTAACCGTGCTAGAAATAAATTGCCCTGTGTGACGTGAATTAATTATTCTATAAGCGATAATGCGCTTTTGCATTATCGAATCCTCATCAATCCAATAACTGGTAACTGTAAGATAATCACAGTCATTACCACTTCCACCAATATCAGTATTAATAGCAACACGACAATTAATATGAGTAAATAAATAGCGCAAATATTGTTCATATTCATGCTTATATTTATAAATATCGCTCTTTACGGTTGTGCGAGGTCATCCTTTATAAGTAGGATTAAAAACTTTTCTAATATAATGCACAAAATGGGATTAGAAGGAAAACTGTAGGGTAAGCACATAACAGTAACCATATTTGCCAATTCTTCCATATCTTTTCTTGGATCATAATATAAAATACCACCGGTAACAGTGTTAATTCCCGGTTGAAATTGATTTGACCAGTACTAGGGTCAGGCTGACTAGGTACACTTGTCCCCCGGCCGAAGCTTTCATATGAAGATATTTAACTTTATCTTGAGGGTGTAGCATTATGTGTCTCCTCAAATTTCCCCCCCCCCCCCCCCCCCAAGATAGTTAAAAGCTAATCTCTGCCATCTCTTATTTGAATAAAAAATGGCCAAACAAGAGATGTTTCGGTCCGTTTAGAAGGTTGTCTAGACAGGTAACAGGGGGGGTCAGACGGGGCATCATTTGGATTAGTTGGGTTAACTTCAGCAACAGGACTAGTGGTCTATTGTCATCCGGCTGCGTTTCATCCAAATCTATTTCCTGCTCATTATTTTCATCAATAGTTGGATTACCATAAAGAGCATTCATATATTCATGGTTTAAGTGTTCACCACCTCCAACATTATGCAAATATTGACTCTCAGTAAATTGTAATAAAGTATTATCACTATCAAGAATAGGAGCAGGTGGAGGGCGGGTATAGGGTTTGGGTAGGGGAGCCCGGGGAATTGGAGAAGGAATAGATTGGCCACTAGATTCACCACTCTTGGATTTTCCCTTATTTTTACTAAACATTTTTTTTAGCGAAATATCCATCTTAATTAATCAAACAATACAAAAATAAATAAAACAAAACAAAACTATAATATTAAAACTTAAGAGTTGGAACGAGTTTACCGAATTGACGAACAACTTATTAAAAATTATATATCGTTGAAGACTTGAATACTTCAATTCACCAACTTCACAATTTTTTACAAATTGCAACAATAAAGTAAGCAATTATAGAAGATAATTAGAGAGTGAGATTGAGAGAGATAGATGATTTTGTGAGAAAAATGAAAGAATGAGGGGGTATTTACAGTTGAAAATAGGGAAAAAAGTATAACTATAAAAAGTTTGGGGTTAAAACAAAGTTGAGGAGGGGGGAGAGGGTTAAATGGCTATTTTAGAAATAGGAAACGACTATTTTTGCAAGCCAACGATCATTTTTTAAACTTTTGTAACGGCTAAAAAAAATTTTGGAATAGTTTTTTTTTAAAAATAGCCGTTGGGCCCGTTTGAGCCCGTTTAGGACGGTTGAACCGGCCCACATAGGAGCCGGTCCCGGGCCCAAACGGGTAGAAATGGCGTGGGGTAGCTACTGTTTAAGCTGGTATTTACTTTTTATCCAGCATTTTTAATGCTTAGCAATAGTAGCCACTAGTCTATTAAAATTAATATGAAAAGACTGTGTTACCCTTTCTTCTATCTCTTTTCTCTCTGATCCTACGTATACAAATATTGCAGGATAGACTGCTTGTTGTTCTTCCTCTTTTGGTACCATTGATGAGGAATGGAAAACTTGTTTGCTATCAAAGTTGTTTGTAGGGTTTACACTAGTTGCTAGTATCTTCTTCTTCAATTTAGTATTCCAGTGATTTTTCACATCATTGTCTGCTCTTCCTGGTAGCTTAGATGCTATAACAGACCATCTGCAAATTCAAAAAATAAAAATAAAAATACTCGGGGTCACTCTTAAATACTAAAAATGTTATTAAAATGGGAAAGTTAAAGAAAAAAAATTAGGTTTTAAAAGAGCAAGAATTAGCCCGCTTCCAAGTTGAGTGTAGAGAGAGCAGATAATGTTGTCTTCCTCTTGTGTAAAATTTCCAAGTTTAATAACTGGTCTCAAATAATTCAACCATCTTAACCGGCAACTCTTACCACAACGCTTTAGGCCTGTATTAATTAATTTGCACACAGATAAGTTAGTCTTTAGTGCTGAACAAAGGCTATATACATAATATATAATATAGTGTGTAAATTCAAAAGTTAAGGACATGGTCCTGAACTTAGAGTTTCAAGTTCAAAAGTTAAGGAAATGTAGTCTTGAAGTCCTAAAGTTAAGTTCAATAGTTAAGACACAAGTTCAAAAGTTAACGACAAGCAGCCCTTAACTTACAGTTTACAAGTTCAAAAGTTAAGGACAGACAGTCCTTAACTTACAGTTACAAGTTCAAAAGTTAAGGACAATAGGTCCTTAACTTTGATTTCCAAGTTCAAAAGTTAAGGACAGGCAGTGCTTAACTTACAGTTACAAGTTCAAAAGTTAAGGACAATAGGTCCTTAACTTTGACTTACAAGTTCAAAAGTTAAGGACGCTTGGTCTTGAAGTTTGAGTTCCAAGTTCAAAAGTTAAGGACATGTAGCCTTGAAGTCCTGAACTTAGAGTTCCAAACTCAAAAGTTAAGGACATGTAGTCCTGAAGTCCTGAACTTAGAGTTATAAGTTCAAAAGTTAAGGACATGTAGTTCTGAAGTCCTGAACTTAGAGTTCTAAGTTCAAAAGTTAAGGACATGTAGTCCTGAAGTCCTGAACTTAGAGTTCCAAGTTCAAAAGTTAAGGACATGTAGTCCTGAAGTCCTGAAGTTAAGTACAAAAGTTAAGGACATGAGCAGAAGGGTATTTTCGTCCGGGAAGTTAAAGTTTATTAAAGCAGTGGCTAAAGACTAAAGACATTTTAAACGGTGGCTTAAAAGTAAATACATGTGTTATTAGTGGGCAACCGTGCACTTCTCCCCCCAAACGGTCCCGATCTCACGGGCTTTTTCAGGGGACCGACCCACTTAGCAGCCCACCCCACCTGGTCTCTGGTTTAAACGATTAAGCCCGTTTAGGCCCACTACCCATATGAGCTCACGGACCCGGGCCGGGCCCGTGGCCTAACCGGCCCACATGCCAGCCCTACATAGGAGTACTTTGATTAGTTTTGTTAGAAAACATAACAATGAAGATTATGTAATATTTGAAACTATAGGGGAGATTTATACAATTGTCTCAAATACAAAAAGAAGGAACAGTGTTCAGAGCAAAACCCTAGAGAGACGAGGGTTTAGAAGCAGCAAAGCTGCAGACTTGAGATTAGCTTGAGATTTGAACAGAAGCAGAAATGGATAAACCCATTATACATCTGGACAAAGGCACAACATGTACTGCTTGGAATTATTCGGGTCAGAGATTAGCAGCTGGTTCTACTGACGGCAATTTGTCCATCTTTGATTCTACTGACCCTGCTTCTTCTGTTTTTAGTTGCTCTTCTAAATTTAAGGTCCGAAATACTCATTTTTACTCTGCATTGTTTTCTATTAATTTGTTTCTCCGTCATTTTAATCACATTTTATAGTCATACGTGTCTTTGTTGTAATGTTTGTGTTCTTTGGATGATTTTTCTTAATACATATTTGAAGTTTTTGTACTGGAAAGGAAAAGTATTTGGACATAGATTGAACCTCTTTTGGGAAAAGAAAAAAATTATGGTGTTAACTTTACAAATAATGTTGTAGCAATGTACGTCAAGCCTCACCAAAGAATCTAATCAACTGTTTATACATGTAGGAATTTGCACATTGAACAAAAATAATATAACTATGCATCAATTCCAAGCTAGTTGGATTCGGCTATATGGGATAGTGATGATTCATATAGGAATTTGCACTTTTGCATAAAAATAGAACATAACAACTGTGCATCAATTCAAGCTAATTGGGATCGTCTATATGGGATAATAAGAATTCTTATAACCAAAAAAGGACTTTTGACTTCGTTTCAATTTTTTCCTATTTCTTAAGTTGCCAATAAAATGCAAAGGGGGGCAGACATCCAAAACTTCTTTTTTCCTTGCCTCTAATTTGGTAATCCTCTAACTTGCTAGCGTACCTGCAACTGTATAGGAGATCACCAATTGAATGTTGAAGACTGATATATTAAGTACCACCTCTGAAGGGAAGTCATAATGTAATAAGAGAGGATTCATGTCATCCTCGTGCTTCTTGTGGAGGCATCAAGTACCATAATCTTGTTGAGAAGTTTACATAGAAAAAACTGCACAAGTAGTATTATCGAACTATGGCCAGAAAGCGGCAAGATGGGATGTTTGTGGTCTGTTTTGCAAAATGTTGAATTTTCGAGGATAACTAGGTAGAGGATGAAGAAATAACTATTCCTTATCAGTGAAAAGTTAATTCCTTTTTTCAGTTAGGCAGCTTTATTGAGAACTCTTTTGCGCTGATGTAATTTAAAAGAATGAGTATGAAATTGAATATGTGATGAATTATATAAACTATCTTCAGAAGGAAGAGGAACTGTAACTGGCTTAGTCCTTTTTGTTTTGTCCAACTCTAGCAATGCCATAATGCCGAGCAGTAAGCTTAGAAAAAATTTCGTTTGCTTACCTATCAAAAAAATCATTGTGATTATAAAGTAGCCTTAAATTCTTGAACTGAAGTCTATGGTTCTGCATTTCCACCTTTTACATCTTGATTTAGGTGCATGAATCCAGCATTGTAAAAATTATTTGGGCTCCACCAGAATATGGAGATGCAGTTGTTTGCATTTGTGCTGATGGAAGTTTGTTGTTGTGGGAGGAGGTGGTTGAAGGTAAACACATTTTTCTTCTATACTTGTTGATGAAATGATTATCATGAAGCTAAGTTGTAAACACTATTATGTTATTTGTGCCTCTCCTCTTTTTGCATGGGGATGTTTTGCTGATGAAATTAGATAGTAAATGTGAAATCTTTGCTTTCATTTGTGCGAATCTCCAGAGACAGGAAAATGGAGCAAAGGAAAACTTATTCTCTGTTCTTCCATGAATGCTTATGAAATATTGAGAAAAAAATCTAAAAAGAAAACTTGATATCGAATTGCAGATCATTTTGGTTCTTTGTAGTATTTATTCTTTCTTTTCTATTGTTTTTCGCAAGAGTAAATGTGAAGAAAAATCTTTACCTTAAATTCTTGTTAATAATCTTTGTCCCCTACTATCAGTAAAACTATAATCTTGATCTTATCCTGGACTCGCTTTCGTGTCCTTTTTTAATCTTTTATTTTCTAGTTTTACCTGTAATATACTTCTCAAAATTTTCTTTTGACAATAGTTTCTCCTGCTTTTGCTTTTGTTTTATTAAAACTTAATCATAACCTTACAATGCGTATCTATTCTTTAGATTCAGAGTTGCTTCAATGGAAGCTGTGCAAATGCTTTGACAGAATCTCATCTCAAGTTCTGGATGTTCAGTTTGGAGTCTCCAAGACAAGTCTGAAATTGGTGAGTCTGAATTAGATTGGTTGTAAATGTCTATGATTTGGCATTATAATGTGATTGTAGCTGTTTGAATAGCGGGGTAAGGCTTGGGGTGGGGTTTTGGGGGGTGGGGGTGGGGCAGCAAAGGATTAGAACAAAGGAATGGTATCTATGTTGTGTATGACGTGCTTAATGGTTTTTTTTCTTCTTTCTCCTTCATGTCTATAGTGCTTTAGAGGCTTTATGATGAGATTACTCGATAGTCATGAACAATATATTTTTTAATGTGTCTCTGCAAAAACAGTAAAAAGTTCTTTTTGCTTGCCCTCGACTGAGATGACTTCCTCCGTCTTCTCTTTTTTTTTTTTCTCTTCTGGATTTTTGCTGCTTCATAGTTTCCGTTCAAGGTTGATTTCTTGTTACTTCCTTGGCGATCTGCTATGATAATGTTCTTTTATTGCTTAGAAAACTTATATCGCATCTCTTATCAGAAAAAAAAGAAAACTTATATCGCATCTATAATTTGTTCAACAGAACTGGTACCTAATTTTTGTTTGTTAAGTTGTTTAAAATGAAATCACCTCTACTAATCTGTTAACCGTATAACACAACTTACAATGCCAAGGTTGCTTGTTTGTGTTAATTATAGCAGTTATCTACCCCACAAGTGGGATTATATTGGGTATGTTGTTGTTGTTGTTGTATTGTAGTTATCTATATTACTCGTCGCAAAACTGAAACTTTTTTGGTAGTGTGAGGGTGAATTAGTCTTTTAATTTACTTCGTGCCTAAGTCCTTGTGAAGTAGATCGTGTTCGTTAATAAATTCATCTGGAAGGAAAGAAGGGGAGCATCTATGAGGTAAGATGTTGCCCGATACAATCTTCCCACAGTAAAACTCTGTCATAATCTGCTTTGAGGTACTTGAGAGAGTTCTTCAAGCTATTGATTAGGAGGCACATAACGCAACTATAGGTTAATACTAATTAATCACTGGTTTTTGTTATTTGGCTCTAAGAACTGTCTAGAATACTAATAAAAAGGGAAAAAATTGCTCTCTTGAACAAGATCACATTGGTACTAAGTTAAAAGTATTCCCAAGTTTTTTGCTCTTTCCTTTTTGATGTTCTGAGGAAGGATCTCTAAGACTACTCCAGCATTCCTCTTTCTCGGTGAGAGAAGCATTTGGTGTTTTAATATTTATCAGCATTTTGGATTCTACTCTATAATTCATGGATTAAATTCATCATGTGTTTAGATTCATGCATTACAAATATCTTCCTATTTATATGTTCCATTAAACTTGGTTTTTCAAGAAGTTGTGTCTAATTTGCAAATTTTGGCTTGCGATCTTCTTAGGTACTTATTTTGGAGCGATAGGAAAGAGTAGAGTCTTCCATGTCATTCTTCAGAAAATCTGGCTTCCTCTTAAAATTCTTTTGCATTTCTCAGTCTAAGAGGAGGGGGGGGGGGGGTTGGCCTCGTAACTTACCTCTCTCTCGCTCTTTGGTTTTTTAGTTTTTAGTTAGTA